GGGGAAGCTTGGCTGCCACAGGACCAAGCTTCTGCCTCCTGCCCCCGCAGGGGAGAGCGGTGGGCAGGGGGGCTGAGTGGGGCCGCGGGCCGGGACCGCGGCAGGCAGCAGTGTGCCACTCAAAATCAGCTTGCGTGCCGTGTTTGGCACGTGTGCCTTAGGTTGCCGACCCCGTTCTAGTAAATGCCACATAAACCCATTTCAAGAATTCTCAATGTATGCAACAGATTGTAGCCCATATACACTGTTGGAAAGTAAATTTAGGACAAGACAATGGCCAGAAAGTTTTTAGGGTCAAGTACCCAAAAGTTTGGATCCTCATCTGCACCTTTTGTGTCTGTAAAACAGAGCTGGAAATTTCACAATGAAAGGATTTTCTTACAAGGTTTCTGGCAATTCCTCCATCCAGTTGTGCGAGAAATACTTCAAGAACAGCCTCTTTTCCAGCTGAGAGGAGAAGTGCAGAGGGGAATGATTTTATTTTTTAAAGCAAGCCATACTTTTCCATACCTGAAAGGAAATTCAATTTGGGTTTAAATGTGGGTGGTGATCTTGGAGACTTTATCCAAATAGGTTTGTCCTTCCTTAATGCTTGTGGGCCATAAGTTTTACATTGTCTCCAGGATGCTATAAACCACTGTAATACTGGTGAAAAGCCAAGAATGGGATCTGCAGATGCTCTTCCAAATGGAGCAAAGGATGGGAGCTGCATACATTGGTCTATGGTGTAGCCCAGTATGCTGTAAAGATCACATCAAGTTAATGCTCAGATTCTTCCCCTTTGTGGGAGTAATTTATTCTGTGCCTACCTAGAAATTGGCTTCCTGTGAAGGAACCACCTAGTGGTCAGCTCAATAAAGTTCTTTCTTACTGGCAGATGACCTCAATATGGCTTCTTTCTCAGCCACTCAGCGCTGGCTGAGCAAGGACTAAGAGCAGGATAAATTAGCTGTCACCACAGTCACTCTAGAACAGTGGTTCTCAAGCTTTTGTACTGGTGACCTCTTTCACATAGCACCCTTTCACATAACAAGCCTCCTCTTATAAATTAAAACCATTTGTATATATTTAACACTATTATAAAAGCTGGATGCAAAGTGGGGTTGAGGTGGAGGCTGACAGCTCACGGCCCCCCCATGTAATAACCTTATGATCCCCTGAGGTTTCCTGACCTGCAGTTTGAGAACCCCTGCTCTAGAATTAGAGCTAGCTCATTGCAGCTGGATGCAAGCATGAGCAGCTCAATCAGGGTGCTAAGCAACTCATGAAGGGGCTGCTCTCAACTTCCACTCACTTCCCTGGGAGTTGAGGGGGCTCAGCACCTACAGCAGTTGATCAGAATCCTGCAGAATGGAGCTTGTGATGCTAGGGAGCACTGGCTCCGGAATGATGCTTAGTTGCATATTTTCACTCTGGCAGATATAAGATACACAGTTCTTCTTGCTAATGCTAGTGTTATGGCAAATTCTCAGGACTGCTTGCTGAAAATTTACCCCTTAGGTTCTGACAGTCAAACTTCATAAGACTCAGAGAGCTCCACGGCCAAGTACTGTATGTTTAAATCAGAGCTACCTGGTCTGAACAGATCCCTAAAAGCCATAGTCTGGCCTAGATTTGGGTGTGCAAATCCCATTGACATCAGTGGTTGTGCCACATGTGGCTTGAGGGCAGTATAGTTTTAGAAACAGTTGCTGAGTAAAGAAAACAAAACAGAGGGCAGTTTACATTTACTTGTATATTTAATCAGTAGTAAAGAATTAACAGTATAATACATCCGAAGTTATATAGTGGAATTCTATTTTAATTATCTTTTCAGGCTACCATGGTTTTGTTGTATTCAAACAATCACTCTAACCCAGTCCATGAAAGAGTGAACTTTCTAAATCAGAAAGAAAATCTTCACCTTGCAAAGGCAAAGTGGAGTCTATGAAGCATTTCAATGCTAAGAAAAGTCATACCATAACTGGCACCCCCATACATTGTAACATTCTTTATCTGCAACCAAGCAACACTCAGAGATATGAAATTCTTTCTTATCTTTGGAAATGACAAGAGAAAAATCAAAGAAATTATCTCCAATTTTAATCTTACAACCAAATACCCATTGATCAGTATAAGCACAGGACAAGCAACTCAGCATCAACAGGGAATTGCTGTTGGAAAATGAAATGCAAGTCCTATCTGTCTAAACTATCTATTCTAGCTGTTGAATGGTTTTGCTAAAACATCTGTCACTGTGGTAGTTAAGAGCCACTTGATACTAGCAGTGATCAATAAATATTTATCTTTGATTAAATAGCCAATCTCTTGCATGAGAATGCATGTGCTAGGTGTTTTATCATGTATTTATGTCTCTTTAGATGAAGAAGCAGAGGGTGGAGAAATATCATCTGAAGCCATGTTGGAAAACCCAGAGATAGAAGGAAAAAGCAGTGCCTCCTAATCTCTAGAGATTGCTGGATTTACAATGTCCATCGACAGACTTTACAAATGTTCTGCTTTTCACAGGTTCCAAGCCCTAGTAGAAACTGTAGTGTTCTGGGCAGGACTATTCAACACAATTGTATCTGGATGACATTAACTTGCAGCTACTACTTAGGGTTTTCATGCTGTTTTCTACTGTAGTCCATTAAAAAGCAAGTAATCTACAAATCACAACCAGGAAAAAGCTAAAGAATGTATGTGGTGTTTTTTAATTGTTATCAGTTGCACCATATTGATACTAATCCAACCAAACCTTTTTTGATCATTTCAATGGTTATGGTTAACAGTTGTACAAAAGACAATAACTGTGCTAAATATAACTCCTGATTAATTTTCCAAATTATTTTTTTCAGTGACACCAAGTCTTGTTTCCCATCCAAGATGAGATTATGTCAAGTGTATTGGGATGCAGATAGGGAGGGGATTTTTCTGACCTTTAAAGATAGAAGAAACACATACATCCATGATGTACAAACTTTTGGAACTTTCAGAGGTTTTGTTCTCTTTGGGAATAGAAAAGGGGTGAAAAAGCCTGAAACAAAACCATTTTTCTCCTCCTCTTTTCCAAAATGTTCTATATTCTTCTTAAAAAACAAAAAAAAACTTTTTGAAAATCTCTTCAATTTATTCAGCCCTATCCCCAGGCAGATAATCTCTGGGTTCTTCTATTCCCAACAATCATACTCCTTCTGTCTTCTCTGTGCACAGCCTCAATACTCTATTTGTTCAGATGTATTTAAAATAAAATAGCAACATTTGTAAGTGATTTAAATTGTTTACTCTCATCCTGGATATTAAATAGATCCCATTTCTTTTGTGTTCTTGAATCTTTGATGTCTCTCCTGTATGGCAAGGAATGAAACAGAAGTACCATAATACACAATGTTTTTGTTTCATTTGTGATTTTTTGGTTTGTCCGTTTATGACGGAGCTATTCCATTCATTCTGGGTTTACTAAAACATATTTAAACAAAGACTCTCTGCCTGCACTAAAAGATCATTCATGTTTTGTTACAAAGATTGTATTCCTGAAAATATTTTGTATGGATCCCTTTATTATTCAGGATATAGAGTCACATAAATGCATGCACTTGTGTTGGAATCGGAGTCAATGGTCATTTGAAATTCTTACAAAGGTATAGAGTGCAGCTAATTCTGATAATCAGGCACTTCTATTTGCATAGTGTGTTTCTATTGGAGTATGGCTTACAGGTAGAGGTATTAATGATACATGGGTATTGGCAGTACTCAAAGGATGATGATCATAAATCCCACATGGAGCCAGAGTAATGGGGCTTTATGTACTGGCTGCCCTATAGAGGGATAGGGGCATGATGCACACCCTAGCCTAGAGACAAGATGCAGAGCTGCATCACAGTCAGTAGGCCAGTCTATAAGATGGCAAAGTGATATTTTCTCTGCCTAATTCAGAGGAGGGATTTGAATCCACATCTCCTACCTCCCAGGTGAATGCCTTGATCACCAGGCTATGGAATTAGGGTTACCATATTTAAACATTAAAAAAAGAGGACACTCACGGGGCCCCGGCCCTGCCTCTTCCCCACCCTGCCCCAACTCCACCCCTTCCCCAAAGTCCTTGCCCCAAGCCCTCCCCTGAGCGCCCCTCATTCCCCCTCCTCCCTCTCAGCCACATGAAACAGCTGCCCGAGCGCTACCGGCTTCACGGTTTGCCGGGCAGCATGGCTCTTCAGCTACACAAAGCTGAGGTGTCTGGGGGGAGCAGCAGCAGCCACCGCGGGGGAATCCACCTGCAGCTCGCAGCCTCCTGGAGCCGCTCTAAGGTGAGCAGTAGACTGGGGCAGGGGTGCCGGCAAAACAAAGCTGGGGGTATTTTCCCGGACATGTTTGGCTTTTTGGCAATTCCCCCCGGACAGGGATTTGAGGACCAAAAATCCGGACATGTCTGGGAAAATCCGGACATATGGTAACCCTATACGGAATCATTCTCACACTCTCTCTCTTTTTGGTTCAATGTATATTTAAGTATTTCTACAAAGTGGAACAACTTCAACAGGAGAAACTGAGAGCAGCTCACCTTAGACTAGCCTATAGCAGGGGTGGCCAACCTATGGCTCCGGAGCCACATGCAGCTCTTCAGAAGTTAATATGTAGCTCCTTGTATAGGCACCAACTCCGGGGTTGGAGCTACAGGCGCCAACTTTCCAATGTGCTGTGGGATGCTCACTGCTCTGCCATAGGCCCTGCCCCCACTTCACCCCTTCCCACCCCCTCCTCTCAGCCTGCCATGCCCTCGCTCCTCCCCTTCCCTCCCCTCCCCCCTGCACGCCAAAAAACAGCTGATTGGCAGAGCTGCCGGTGGGTGGGAGGTGCTGGGAGTGGGGGTGGGGGAGCTGATGGGGGGTTGCTAGCGCAAAGTGTGGCTCTTTGGCAATGTACATTGGTAAATTATGGCTCCTTCTCAGGCTCAGGATGGCCACCCCGGCCTAGTGGTTAGGGGAATTCCAAGTTCAAATCCCTAGTTCAGAACAGGGATTCAAACGTAGATTTCCCTACATCCCAGGCAAATCCCCTAGCTATTGGGCTATAGTTTATAAAGTGGGGACACATGCTGTTTGCTAGACCTGAAAATCTCTTCCCTTGCCAAAATGGGTATATGGAATTGGTGACTAGATTCTGGCCAACAAAAACTGAATTTTTCAGCAAACAAATGATTTTCCCCAAAACTTTGCCAAGCCCTAGTAGTGACTGCTGTGTCTGTGCAACCCCTATGCAGACATCACTGGCCATTGAACTACATAAGTGCAGATTCAGTTGCTATTTCCATAACCCAATTACTATATTCCTCCACATTAGCTCATTCCTAGCTGGCACAGAGCACATTTTCCTGGTGCACAGAGTGTGCAGAGGCACCCCTGCACAAATACTGTGCCTTCACATCTCTTTCCTCCCAGTCCAGGCATGCCTTGTGTGGGCCTTTCAGCAAAGGAGGAGTTTCCCCTGAACTGAGTGGGAGCTGAGCTCCGCCACTTCCCCCCGACCCCTGTCCAACAGGAACTAAGTCCTAGAGCTTTTCACAAGTTATAAAAGCACTGTTCCACTAAAACAAGATAAAAGCACTGCCAAAGGTTGAAAGAGCAAAGGAAATGGCAACAGAAAAGCAAAGCAGAAGGATTAGACAAGAGGAATTCAAAGTTGTATTGCACTTGCAATGCCTGCTTTGACTTGGTTCTGTGTTCCAGTCCCCATTTCAGGCCTTTATGACAGCCTGCTCTAGCAAGGTACTTAATCATGTGCCTACCTTTGAACACCTGAGAAGTCACATTGAAATTAAGCAGTGAAGTACCGTTACATGGGACTGCTCACATGCTTAAAGTGAAGCAGGTGCTTTAGCCTATATGAATTCTCCTTCTTTTTCTTCACATTTGGAGCACTGGCTATTTTGAAAACTGCACCTTACAGTACATTGACCGGAGTTCTCAAACTGGGGGTCAGGACCCCTCAGGGGGTCGCAAAGTTATTACATGGGGGATCGCGAGCTGTCAGCTTCCACCCCAAATCCCGCTTTGCTTCCAGCATTATTAATGGTATTAAATATATTAAAAAGTGCTTTTAATTTATGAGGGAGGTCACACTCAGAGGCTTGCTATGTGAAAGGGGTCACCAATACAAAAGTTTGAGAATCACTGACATTGACATTGACAGTGAAATCCGGGTTACGTACATTGATGCTAAACAAATGCTTTCATTAACCGAAGGTGTTTTTCAGGAGTTTTCTATTAGAATGCTAATGAAATGAATCAATGGGACGTAAGGTCCAATACGGCACACACATATGCATGTGCTTAACTTTACATGACAGTAGTCCCATAATTGCTCACATGTGTAAAGTTAGGATCATGCTCAGAAACTCACATGAGGCACTCAGAACCTTGCAGGGTTGGGCCCTAATTTCTCTGGGATGCGTAAAAAGATGCTGTGGCGTTCCCAAGAGGGACACAAAAGCCTGGGTACCAACCTCAGGGCAGACTGTTAAAAAACTAGGGCCCAAACCCCAAATTGGTCATGAGTTCTAAACTGAGATTTCACCAACCAATTGCACTAAGTGCAAACTCCTCAGGGGCACAATGGAGTCACAGACAGTCCCCTTGGATACTCCAGTCTGTCTTGTCACCCACATGAGCATATCTCTGTGATGGATGGCTCTTAAAACTAAAATTCACAGTAATATTCAGGTTATTCCTTGTCCCAAAGGACCAGTCACTTACCCCAGGTCAACTGCGCTGTACCTTGCACATCAAGGACAAGGTTTGTAGCCAATCCTATAATACATTTTGTGAAGATTTATTAAATAGGAAAAGGAAACTAGAGAGTTATTTACAAGGGTAAAGGAAGTGAATATAGACACATGAATGAGTTATAGGTTTTAAATGGTAAAAGAGGTTTCTATAATCAGCAAGCTCTGTTTGTTCTTTAGGGTTCACCCCGGCTAACCAGCTGGGGCTTTCTTGCATAGGTCTAGGAAATGCCTTGCCCCCCACAGAATTCCAGCACCAGAGAGATCCTTAGTTCCTTTAGTTTGGGGTTTTTACTCCCACGCCTGCCATGGGCTCTCAACTGCACACTCTGGTGGTGGGAAGAGTCCACTTGCATGATTCACATTCATCGGGAGGAGATCAGAACAATAAGAGTCTTTAGTCCATTTGCTGACTGTTCCTCAAACCAGAAGTAGGGAGTTTCCAGTTGTAAGATCCAACAATAGCCTGTCTGGTATTGACGGGACTCCTCTTTCGGGAGGGGGTGCAACAATTTTTGTAGAAGAGCAGCTCTTCACACTAATTAATGTCTCTCTCCTGTACAGTTATGCATACAGTCACAGAGGGGGGTCACACTACACCCGCCCAAATATTACATTATAATATGGAATACACATATTACAACTAAAGTTAATGCACGCAGTAACTCACAAATATTCAACTGAGTCCAAAGACTAAAAACTTCCTGTCATTCTAATACTTATTTTATCACTATTAAACCACAAGTGAACCAGACAGATTTCAGCTACGTATCTGTCAGTCTTCAGTTGAGACATGGGGACCTTGGCATGAGCTGGCGCCTGGTCTGCCAGGGTACAGATGCCACTGAGAAAATGTAGTAAAGAAATAAACAAGGGAAAGGAGTAAATCTAAAATAGAAAACTGGTTACCTTCATCTAAGGAGAAGAAAAAATGAAACAGTAACAAAACAGGATTTTTTTTAACATGACTAAATTCAACAGGGTCAACATATTTAATCTATCTGGAAAGTATTTGGTGCCAGCTTTATATACAAGGAGCAACATTGCTAACAGTCAGCAATGGGATTTCTCATTTATACAGTAACCACTTTAAGGCCCTGATTTAGCCAGGTTTCTAAGCAGATGCCTAACTTTAAGCATGAGACTAATCCCACTGAAGTCAATGGGACTACTCACATACTTAAAATTAAGTACATGCTTAAGATCCTGGCTGAATCAAAGCCTTAAGCCTTTATTAGGGGTAGTCTGATACATATTGCAAAGCATTAAACCCAATTTCCACTCCAGCCAATTTGGTCCAAGTGCTGTGTATTATTGTAAGCTTCCTTATTGTCAGCGTAAATGATGCATGGCGTTCTGTGGATTTATGGAGCAAAGAGAGCAATTCTGCTACAAAGCAGGAAAAATGTATCTATTCTGATGTGGCTTTTAGAGTTTAATGGAGCAATTATTCATTTTCAACTACTCAATAGGAAAAAAGCATTAGTTCATTATGCTGTAGATATATTTAATATGTTTTGGATATTTTGAGTGCTT